TTATCTCTATCACGGTCTTAGTAGCCACAATGGACTAGTTACAAGCATAAGTAGGGGGACGTACTGGGGTGGGTAGGGTGTGCTACGAGTCTTGCTCCTCAACACCTACTGTACTCCCCCCTCCTGCTGTAGTGCTCCTCAACACCTACTGTACTCCCTCCTCCTCCTGCTGTAGTGCTCCTCAACACCTACTGTACTCCCTCCTCCTCCTGCTGTAGTGCTCCTCAACACCTACCGTACTCCCTCCTCCTCCTGCTGTAATCCTCCTCAACACCTACTGTACTCCCCCCCTCCTGCTGTAGTGCTCCTCAACACCTACTGTACTCCCTCCTCCTCCTGCTGTAGTGCTCCTCAACACCTACTGTACTCCCTCCTCCTCCTGCTGTAGTGCTCCTCAACACCTACTGTACTCCCTCCTCCTCCTGCTGTAGTGCTCCTCAACACCTACTGTACCAAACTACCTCACGTAAGCTATGAAACAAAGATGACGGTGGAAATAACCTAGAGACTTGCATTAAGTTTCTACGGATTATTGTATATATATAATATCCTTGACTTTGCTCTGAGACTCGACCTTAATTGATTTATATATGCGGCCTCGCCCATTTGTTACTAATGGATAAATGAAATCAATCGTGCACGCCCACCCCATATGGCTGCCAGACTGATTCAGACTGATCAACCTCGGACGACGTCTCTTAGGTGCTTGGGATGATCACTTAACTTCTACTACTGACTCCCTAAATACAAAACCAGACATAGACATATAAATAGTTTTAGACAAATATGGTGTAGCCAAGATGATTAAAAATGTGTTGGCTTGATGAGAGAAACGGCAATGTTTTTTTTAGTCCATAGAGCAGATGTATAAGTTACTCTAATACAAGTTGCTTAAAAAAAAGACGAACTTGATACTTTTATTTATTTTTTTATTTGTTTTAAGAATCGGAACTCTGAGTCACTGTTAAGAGGTTGTGTGTGTTACTTGTCAGTCAGTCAGTCAGTCATGTCTATGCCACTAGGCCATTCAGCTTCATATAACTCAATTTGTGTGATGATCATTTTGGAGTCGTTTTTCCGGTTTGTGTGAAGAAGAACATGATAAAGAACTTGCTTGTCTGGTACTAGTGTCTTTTTGTTGTTGTTTTTTGGGGGAGGGGAGGGGGGTCTGATTTGTGTAATTTTACTTTCGATTCATTTATTAGTATTTTTTTTTTTTTTTTCACTTTCGCCTGAGAGGTTGAGAGTTCCGTCGTTTTTGTCGTATTTTATTGAGGACATGAGCGGGTGATCTGATGGTGTCGTCGCTCATTAAAACTAGAGGAGACACTACAGGATGCTGGAACACTCAGGATGCTAAGAAACACCAAGAAACACTACAGGATGCTGGGAGGAGACACTACAGGATGCTAAGAAAACACCAAGAAACACTACAGGATGCTGGGAACACTACAGGATGCTAAGAAAACACCAAGAAACACTACAGGATGCTAAGAAAACACCAAGAAACACTACAGGATGCTGGGAACACTACAGGATGCTAAGAAAACACCAAGAAACACTACAGGATGCTGGGAACACTACATGATGCTATGAACGCCAAGAAACACTACAGGATGCTGGGATATTCTGTAAACCCCTACAAAAAAATTATACAAAACAGTAGCGCCACGAGACTCCAAATACTAACTCACGCTCTACGTTAACCGCTCTACGTTAACCCTTGCCCGTTTTGTCGTCCCGCTGAGCTCAGGTAAAACTGGAGGTGAGTGAGGCTATCCTTCAACTTCAAGCACCTTAATAAACGAATTACTTTATAATATAATCAGAACCCGTCTGTACTGGCTGGCTGGTAATGGATAGATCTGAGACTCGGAAGGCCTAACCTAACTCCAGTCTGTAATGGATAGTAAGTAGATCTGAGGCTCGGGGTTAAGTTAAGGCCTATCGTTTCGATGGCTAAGTACAGGATGTTGTGAATGGATGTGAGGTTAGAAGCTCGGAGGGAGGCCTATGTGTCCTGTTGGTCTCTCTCTCTCTCTCTCTCTCTCTCTCTCTCTCTCTCTCTCTCTCGTGTTTTGTGTTGGTGGCTTTGCAGGAATGTGAGGCTGTAAATTGTGTGAGATTGCCTGAAGGATTATGAGCCTTTAAGAAGAGGCCCTCCTCCAGTAGTGACCTAGCCCTCCTCCAGTAGTGAGTGTTACTGAGAACCTGGCCCTCCTCCAGTAGTGACTTGGCTTTCCTCCAGTAGTGAGTGTTACAGAGAACCTGGCGCTCCTCCAGTAGTGACCTGGCCGTCCTCCAGTAGTGAGTGTTACTGAGAACCTGGCCCTCCTCCAGTAGTGACCTGGCTTTCCTCCAGTAGTGAGTGTTACTGAGAACCTGGCCCTCCTCCAGTAGTGAAGGGCTCCCAGACGGCTCCCGCCACGCTCCATTTAGCCAAACTTTCTCCACACATCACACACACACCTCGGAGTTGTAAATTTTTCCTCTACCTGGAGATGTGAGAACACCCCCTACCACACCTGACCAACTTAACGTTACGGCAAAAAGTTGAGTTTTTACAATACTTGATTTTGTGTATAATTACTGAAGAGAGTGAACACGTATCTAACTGATTCATTATACGACAAACTTTGATCACGATGACGTTAAAATTACACTTGAGAACAGATGGTGACCACAGTAGATGAGCTCCTTTACCTTGAAACAGGAGGCTAACACACACACACACACACACACACACACACACACACACACACATCACCCGGGAGTGTACGCCAAATGCACTACGTCGTCCTCTTCTTTTTCTCTTCTTCCTCATCACCTTCTTCTTCCTTCTACTCATTATCCTCTTCTCCCCTCCTTCTTTCCTTCCCTCGCCTTCCTTAATCTCCATTACCCAGCTTCTCCACATGCTGCTCTTACTAGTGAAAAGTAATTAATTTTCCCACGCTGAAGTAAGATCGATAATGCCTCTACCTGTAGCCAGGTTAATGATGGGGGGATTATACCGGCAGGCCCTTCCCTCCCCCCTGATGGTCCTCTCATGTCAAGAGGGAAGGAATCATGTCAAGAGGGAAAGGGGAGTCATTTCTAGAGGGGAGAGCATACCAAGGACGATGAAGTCATGTCACGAATTAGAAACACGGTACCATGTCATGAGGGAGGGATATCATGTTAATGGGAGGGACGTCATATTAAAGGGGGCGAAATCATGTCAAAGGGAGGAAGATATTCAACATGATGGTATCCTAAGGTATCGACAAATTTCATAAAACATTTTCTCACCACATGATTTACATCTCACTTCTACACTGGAGGGACTATTCTCTTTTATCTGGATTTATTTGGTCGTGTTGTCGTGTTTATGTGTTGAGGTGCATCAGTTGTTTAGATTATTTACACCGTTACTCCATGACACGGTGGGTGAAGGGATACAGCACTTGCCTTCTGTCCTTGGGTCAATTGGTTCGCACCCTGGATACCCCTAGTCCACCCAGCTGTGAATGGGTGCCTAACCAAATAGTTAGGAAAGTGACGGCAATAGAGTGCAGTGCCACCTACAGTGTGCCCCTAATTGGCCCTCAGGTGTATGGAACCCACTTTTCACCTTGTCGACAGCCAGATATACAATATACTGCATATATTTTTTCCTGCTGATATGAATCGTGTTATGTGTATATTCTGCGTGTAAGTAGAGTTATGATGTTTGTACAGTATGAAAAGCTCAGTATATTATCACCATCGATGTATTATTTGACTTCTGCTGGTGACAGCGGTGTTTAAACCTTCAAAAACATTTTCGTGCTGCACATGTGTACTGCTGTTGTACACCAGATGAGGCAGGCAGTTAATGTACACCAGATGATGCTGACAGTTATTGTACACGAGATGCTGCTGACAATGTACACCAGATGCTGCTGACAGTTGAACAGAGGAGGCAACAGCGCTACACCAGGAGATCCCGCGGCTCCGAGTTATTCAAGAAAATGACGGGATCTTGCGCAAATGTGCAATTTATACCGCAAAAAGTGATGAAGTCTGCATAATACCAAGTGTTAGCCTCGGTGAGTGCGTGTGTGGGGTGCATCAGGAGAATGGAGGCTGCCTAATCATGGCCGTGCTTATCAGAGCAGGATTTTGCAAACCGTATAACGAGTGGCGCCCGATGAAAAAGAAAAGGAAAACGAAAAATTATAGGGATACCTTCTCATAAATACTCCCTTGGTGAATGATGGTGATTGAGCTTGAGGAAAATATCTGATTTTTCCTGGTATAAAGGGAACTGGGAAAGAAATTATAAGTAAAGTATTCAAGTATTAAGGAAAACAGGTGTTGCTACGAGAACGGCGATTTTGGACTCGTCTGGACAGCAGGTGAACCTCAGTTTTAGACATTGTATTATTGACTTTCTTGGACATCAGATAAACGTTGAGATAGGATAATATGCCTTGGTTTGCGTTCGACTTTGTGTACATATACTGTAATTTAAGTACCGTGTTTTGAAGGTGTTAAAAAATCACTTCGACTCCAGGTTTAAGTCTGTTTCGAAGCCTCTGAGTGCTGGATGGACCCCATATCTTGAAGCAGTATGTCCTTAGCGCTGACTAACTTGGAGAATTATCTGCCTTACACAAACACTGCCAGGATACAAGGGCCAAACAAGACGTGTCATCCCACAGAAATACTCAAAATCCAGCCGACATAACCTTCAATGTTCGCCAGTTGGGTATTTCGTGTAGTACCCCGACAAAACACACGGAAAAAATTATTATTAATATCACGGTGGTAACTCGAACATCCCTCCCGACGACTAGCAGAATAATTGGTCGTCTGATTTTATGACAAAAAGCAAAGAGTTGGGTCGTGATTATACCTTCGGCAGCCTTGGCAACAAAGGAAACAGAGTGTGTGAAGAGAGGCCGCGTATCTCTCTCTCTCTCTCTCTCTCTCTCTCTCTCTCTCTCTGTTATAAAGGAGGGAACCAGGTAATAATAATGGAGACGAGAACAAAGTGTGGAGGCGCTGCGACCTCTGACCTCCACCTGCCACCGCAAGCGGCCCCGACCGTTCCCATGACAACCTCTCCCAACACACCTTCTCCCAGGGCAGACTATCCCATGACCACATCTCCCAAGACCACATCTCCCAGGACCACATCTCCCAAGACCACATCTCCCAAGACCACATCTCCCAAGACCATATCTCCCAGGATCACATCTCCCAGGACCACATCTTCCAGGACATCATCTCCCATGACCACATCTCCCAAGACCACATCTCCCAAGACCACATCTCCCAGGACCACATCTCCCAAGACCACATCTCCCAAGACCACATCTCCCAGGACCACATCTCCCAAGACCACATCTCCCAAGACCACATCTCCCAAGACCACATCTCCCAGGACCACATCTCCCAAGACCACATCTCCCAGGACATCATCTCCTAGGACATCATCTCCTAAGACCACACCTCCCAGGACAACATCTCCCAGTTCAACACATCCAAGGACAACATCTCCCAGGACAACACCTCCCAGGACAACATCTCCCAGGACCACATCTCCCAGGACAACATCTCCGAGGACAGTCGGTGGGCGTGGCCAGATCTCTTTACAGCGGGCAATAAAAACAAACGTATATTTTACCCCGGGACATAATTATCCCTTAACCAATTATCAAAAACTTTTCCTTATCATGCAAGAGAAAAATTTTTCTTAATTGAATGATTACGGTGTGTAATTATCTTTAGATCTGCGGGAGACAACAACCCGTAATTCGTCGGTGACTAACGGATTTATGAAGACTGTTTTTTACCGCAATGGATTAAAGGATTCCGGTTATAGATCTGTGACAGTTAGAGGGATATTATGTGATTAAAAGAATACAGTGAGTAAATGGGCGGATAATATATATATATACACGGAAGAGTGAATATGTTTCTTCGTTTATTTTCATGGGGTTCGGTGAGGTGTTGCTGTGTGGCGGGTCACGTATCGTCCGTCGTGCCAATAATTGCTCAATATTGGAACCATGGTGGCTGGTTCCTATAAGCTCTAACTCCGCCTTGCCTTCCTCTCCCTATTATTCCCTCGCTCAGTGACAACTTATCAAAATTATTGCACGGTATTATATAGATTATACACTTATTCATTAACAATGATGAGGAGAATGGGCCATTTACGTTAGTGAAGGAACATAATCCATTGTTACGGGGAGTCGTGTTTTGTTGACGCGCGCCAGATGGTCTCACACAAAAGATGAGCGGGATGTGCGCAGGTGGCCGCTAAGACCGCGCGACCAATAGCCTCTTTATTCCATCTTTTTTGTCACACTAGAGTCATTCCAGGGTGATTTACATGTTGTAAATAAACGAAATTGTGGCATAAATATATTTTATATTATATTAGATCTCGCTGAGTGTACGTTACAGCAAACACAACTCTCCAATTCACTGTAAGAGGGTATCTTAATTTATCTTTAGATTTAACAGCTTTCCGCAGCATTATTTGTAATGATTTTCTCTTAATTCACTAACAGCATTAGCATTAAAACAATCACCAGTAATGCACCGAGGGCATTAGACCGTTCGTAGATCCATCATGAATGCGGATACAACAATATGTCTTCCTGGTTGTTTGTTGATGAAAATTACGTATCGCGTTGTGAGTTGGTTATTGATTATCACCACGACAATAACATACGCGTTAATTTAATAGTTCTCTCCGCTGTACCTTTCCAGCAGGTATTACTTCACTCTCTCGTGTCATTATAGGTTTTGTGGTTGTGCATTTATTGCCCAGCTGAGAGGCGGACCACGATTTATAGCCCTGGCGACGCGGTAATTGCTACAAAGTGTCTTTAACGACCACGATTTATACGCAAATTGACGCAAAATTGCCTTTGTTTTCAATATTTGTGGGAGGGGCAATAATGACGCATTACTGTTAATTGACTATGTTGTTATATACGAGGCTACAAGTGCCCTGAAGTAGGAGGCGAGGTCTTTACCACTGCTGTAGGTGGCGAGGTGACGACCACTACTGTAGGTGGCGAGGTGACAACCACAATCAGAAACTCTCTGTTGTCTATTAAAGGGTTATAGAAGGAAATGAAAGGTGGTAAGGTGCTATTTTTTATACTGTGTGTGTGTGTGTGTGTGTGTGTGTACCTAAACATTAGCATCTTGCCACATTTGAATCCCTAATTTAAACAAAGATTCAGGTGTGTTGAAGGTAAACTCGTCTCCTTAGCACAAGTTCAGGAATTCAGTGTTGTTAGTTGTTATTTAGGCCTACAGATGTACCTCTAAGCGTCTTCTTTACCCACAAGGACACACAGTTAACCCAGAAACAGTATCGTGGTACCCCCTTTGAGACCTGGTAATGACTCCCATAAACCTTTCGCGGCTGTATTAAAAATTATAGCCATAATTCCCTATTAAAATGATAAACGCAGCGGGAGTTTCCATGTAAAGCGGATGATGTTATATTGGATTTTCATAACGCAAAGAAAATTATAACACCGGTTAATGTTGTAACGTGACGACACATTTATTTCGAGGTAGTATGAGAAAAAGTTAAATGCCTATGTTATTATTACCTGTAGTTGATAATTGGCAGAAGGATAAGACTAAATTGACATGAAATATACGATAAGACTCTTCTTTAACTAGTTACCCGTAACATCAGTTGAGGGTCAAAACTGACTTAATTTTTTTTAATCCGGAATGACGTTACATTCTTGAGTAAATTATAGAAAAGATCGACTGAGGGGAATTGTGGGGCGAGATATTGTTTACATTATACATAAGAGGAGGTGGTGACGTTATAGCTTATTGACGTCATAACCCCTTGAAGTCATAATTTGTTAGGTCAATACTTGTTGACTTCATAACCTTGACATCAATTTATATGCTAATGAATTTTTCTTGTTTTAATCGGTACATTATGACCGAATGTGACCTTTATGAGTGCCAGTGTATGCCTCAGAGTGCCATGTACAGACTAACCAGAGATTTTGACTTGACACCTGAGAGGTCACAGGAGTGTTGACATGTCTCCACTACCCTCCTACCTCTTCCCTCTCTTATTACTACCTCCTCCTCCTGCTCTCTCACCACCACCTTCTCCTCCTCCTCCCCTCTCTCACCACCACCTTCTCCTCCTCCTCCTCCTCCCCTCTCACCACCACCCCTCTTACCTCCTCATCCTCCCCTCCATCATCAGGACCACCCCTTTCTGTATCTCAGGTGACACCCAAACTACTAATATAACTCTCTCTCTCTCTTCGCCATATATAAGTCACAGTCCCCCTCACACACACACTGTGAGAACACCGCAGCGCCGCCGGAATAATTACCCAAATTCGATTATACATTTGAAATTAGCGCGCTGAAGCCAGGAAAATTAATGAACTAATTGACTTTTCAACTACCATTTATTATGTCCATTAAAACCACAAGAATGTTCATCCCACAAGGCTCCAAATTATAGAGGATTAGTGCCTTAGGTAATGGTAATCTGAATAATTAAATAACAGGATCCCGCAGCAGGTGGAGTTGGATCACGTTACGTCGATGGTGTTGTGTTTATAGCTCTTGGTTCAGGATAAAGGTTCTAGCATCTATACTGTTTTGTTTATATGATGTAGTGTAGTCATATTCCCTTATTACTACTTTTAATTCGTGATAATGATCGAAGATTTTTTAGAACAAAACGAAACAAAATGATATACAATACAGTAGATATAATTAGAGAGTAAATAGTTTGGTTATAAATATGATAAACCACCAATTAAACTAAATTTGTACTTGACCTGACAAAGAAGAATAGATATGTGGCATAATTATCTGAAATAAATTTAAAGAAATATATATATATTGTGAAGATGAGAAAAGAGATCATTTATTGAATTAAAATAGGTAAGTAGAATTAAATGAAAGACAAGAGTAATAGATAGATAGATATTCAAGTTAACTTTGGTTCAGCTTATATATTCTATGTATAAACGGAGTGACCATACAAACAACAGCTGTACATTTGACTCACTCTGATTATACCCGTACTTGTATATATACCTGTCCTTATATCTTTGACTGTACTTGTATCTTTGGCTGTACTTGTATCTGTACTTGTAACTTTATACCTGTACTTGTGACTTGTAGTTCCCCTAACTTATATTTCTTACCTGTATTAGTATATACCCTGTACTATAATTGTTATACATTTGCTGATATTTTTCTGAATGAATGAAAAAAAGAAGTGAGACTATTGAGAGAGAGGAGGAGATGAGGGTGAGGTAGGTGACCAAGGTGAGGGAGGCTGAGGGGGTGTGTGACTGGTGGGGGCATCATCGGCAGGGCACCCCGCGTCGGATACTCTGTGCCGGAATGTTAATTACTATGCCATGACTCCTCGAATAACTTATTGCCTCCGTGCACGACTCCGCAGCCCCGCCTGAGGCATTCCCTGCTCCCACGGTAGCCCCTCCTCCCCCTTCACCTCCCGCGCGCCACAGATCCAGGAGGCTGCGGCCGTGGCATGGTCCTTGCGGCTGTGGGGTACTTACGGAGTTCGACAGGATGGATCGTAGCCTATACGGTCGGGTAAAGTGAGGCGTGATTGCGGTAAGGTTTGGTTCAATATGCTGCAGCAGGATTATTCATGTTGCGGCTGCGGCAGGGTCCTACAAGTTTCCACAATTTTATTTAAGTAGTTGATTACGTTACCTCTTGTAAATGACCATATACGGGTTACTGTACCTGTACTGTATACATAAATCTGTCCTTGCACATTATGCCTAAATCCTTATACTGACATATCTGAGTATAAACCACACTCGGCTGTATTGTCTGAAGAATTGTCTTAGGGTGAAAATGTGGGGGTCGTACAGAACTTGATTGGTATTGTAGATGTCAGGGTTAGGTCAGGAACAGTGGTGATAGGTCAGATACTATAACGATAGGCCAGGAACAGTGGAAATAGGTAAGGAATACTAGGAATGCGTAAATGATATCGAGGATAGGTCAACATTACCCAAAATAAGGCAGAATTGGGTAGAATCGCGAAAGGATAGATCAGAATCATTAAGGACAGGTCAGAAACCACGGAAGGATAGATCAGAATCGCGGAAATTAAGATCAGATTCACGGAAGGTTAGGTTAGAATCACGTAAACATCAGCCAGAATCACGGAAGGCATTAAGGCTACATCAGAATCACAACAAAGAATATGAGGTGAGATCAGATCCTGAACAACAAAACAACAACGCCCTGCCCTACGGGGTGAGGGAGGGAGGGGAGAGGGGAGGTGGGGGTGAATCAGGGAGGGAGGGTGAGGAGGGGGGGGTAAGGACTAAAGAAACCCAGAGTGGAAGTGAATATCAACACACAAAATTAAGTTGTTTATAATACCCAACACTTGTTAATTCAGAGCACAAACTAATTCATTTTGCCAAAGGTTACTGGATAGACGAGTATTTGAACCAAGAAAATATCTGTGGTCGGGAGACGATGGGATGAGGGTTTGTTGTTTTTCTTCTTCTCAAGTTTACCGAGGAAGACAACAACAGAATACTGAAGACAAATGATCTGATCAGAGCCGATAATGATAGATGGAATTAAGGAAGAAGAAATTCAGTCAGGTTTATTTAATTGTTGAGGCGGCTGTGTGGAATGATAGATAGATAGATAGATAGATAGATAGGACACAGGTAAAAAGAAAGGAGAGAGAGAGAGAGAGAAATAAATTATCTTACATTATGAACATACGTTACTACCCTTTATTATCTCGCTAAATCATTGATAATATATTAAGAACAAGGAGTAAGAGTCGTTTATTATTTTCTTATAGACTCAATATTAATTTCTGGATTTTTATTTTAGCCTCAATTCAGTGTTTTGTGATTGTATGATTGACTTGAATATAACAATTACACATACAGGAATATTTCTAAATAGATAAATATATAAATTCTCTATTCCTTGTATAGATGAGTTGTTAACATGTAACTTGGCTAGAGACAAGTGACCTTATACCTGCAAGACTGTATGACCTTACCTTAAACCTTACCTGCAAGACGTGTGTTGGCGAGACTGATTGACCTTTACAAGAGACGACCTTAGTCATGTAGGATTTGGTAAGACAAGTATCATCACAAGCAATAAGTATCTGTGTGTGTGTGGTGTGGGGGAGGGGGGTTAAGTTGACCTTGTAGGGGGGGTGGGGGTGTTAAGTTGACCTTGCGGGGACGACCTTAGCCTCTGCCGAGACGTGGTCAGACGAGTCATGTGCCACGTCATGAAACTCTTCACTTACGTCATGGAGAAATTCTCATTTGCACTATATTGCTCACCCCGACATTAAGGCCGCTGTAGTGGGTGTTGTGGTGTAGGACTGACTGTAGGGTGTTCTTCAGGGGGAGTGAGACAACCTTCATTATTTGGTGGTGTAACTTACTCTCCTTCCTCGTGGCCTTCACATTCACACTAGTTTTTTCTCTCTTGTTCTTCGCCAGTATAGTTTAGCTTCTTTTTGTTTTATTCAAGAAAAACGGAAAAACATTCTGAATTTCCTAAAAGTTGGGTTTTTTTTTAGGTGAAAAACGAAAAGTAAGTTTCCTTAACCTGTCGTATTATTAGGTAGAGAGAGAGAGAGAGGAAGGCCCCTAACCTTCCCTACATGTCGTGGTGTCGTCGTCCTCACAGCGGCTGGCTGGCTCGCTACCGTAGTCTCAGCAGCAACAGATAAAGTTGTCGTGGCGGGTGTTGACGCGTCGTCGTGTTCACGGAGGCACATCTTCCTCGCCGGCCGTCGTGGCTCCGATGTTTGCCGGGCTATAAAACGACCTCAGCTGACTATGAGACCAGTAATTATCTCTTTGTTTATAGTTGGCCGGTGATGAATTTATTAACCCGGCCTTTATGGGCGTAACCCCTCGCGCTGCCTCCGCATAAAGAGATTTTTCCCCGTAAAATTCCCCGCTGATTAAACTATAAAGTGAGTATATATGAGCCCAGGTACACACACACACACACACACACACACACACACACACGAGAGATAATCTTCCACTCATGGGATACTCATCAATTACTCACTACATCTGATTTTTAACAAAAACATTACCTACACCTATAATTGTTCAGCCAACAGGTGTGCTAACGAGAGACATCTGCCTGGAGGAATGACTACACTTGTTCACTTGTTCATAATCTTCCTCTGGCCACCTTAACACCTTCTCACAGACCGTCTTGGCCACATCTAACACCTTCTCACAGACCGTCTTGGCCACATCTAACACCTTCTCACAGACCGTCTTGGCCACATCTAACACCTTCTCACAGACCGTCTTGGCCACATCTAACACCTTCTCACAGACCGTCTTGGCCACATCTAACACCTTCTCACAGACCGTCTTGGCCAAAAGATGTGTTACAGTATACACTCAGCTGGGCCATGGCCATGAGGGTGTGGATATAGAAGACGTAGATAAGTAAAAAATAGAGAGAAAGATGGCTGGTAGGTAGGGGAGTGTGAGATACCCTTTGATAGCTGTGACCCGCTGTTTCAGTCGGTACCACTTACTGTGTCCACCACTTATTATGTCTACCACTTACTGTGTCTACCACTTACTGTGTCTACCACTTACTGTGTCTACCATTTATTGTGTCCACCACTTACTGTGTTTACCACTTACTGTGTCTACCACTTACTGTGTCCACCACTTATTATGTCTACCACTTACTGTGTTTACCACTTACTGTGTTTACCACTTACTGTGTCTACCACTTACTGTGTCCACCACTTATTATGTCTTCCAATTGTTGTGTCCACTTATGTCTACCACTTACTGTGTCCACCACTTATTATGTCTTCCAATTGTTGTGTCCACTTATGTCTACCACTTACTGTGTCCACCACTTATTATGTCTACCACTTACTGTGTCTACCACTTATTGTGTCCACCACATACTGTGTCTACCACTTACTGTGTCTACCACTTACTGTGTCTACCACTTACTGTGTCCACCACTTATTATGTCTTCCAATTGTTGTGTCCACCACTTATTATGTCTACCACTTACTGTGTCCACCACTTATTATGTCTACCACTTACTGTGTCTACCTCTTACTGTGTCTACCACTTATCGTTTCCACCACTTACCGTGTCTACTAATTACCTGTATTGTGTTCACTGACCGTGACCACCACTTACCGTGTCACTTTTCACTGTGTCCACCACTTACCGTGGCCACCTTGCACTGTGTCCACCACTTACCGTGGCCACCTTGCACTGTGTCCACCACTTACCGTGGCCACCTTGCACTGTGTCCACCACTTACCTTATCCACCTTGCACTGTGTCCACCACTTACCTTATCCACCTTGCACTGTGTCCACCACTTACCTTATCCACCTTGCACTGTGTCCACCACTTACCGTGTCTACCAATTATCATGTTCACCACTGACCGTGACCACCACTTATCATGTCCACACTACACAACATCTGCATCCCGCCAGAGAGAACGAGAAATGGATGATGCAGGAGAAATAGAGCAAATGAGAAGAAAAAGAGAGAAACTGAATGATAAGTAAAGAGAAAACAGAGAGAGAGAGAGAGAGAGAGAGAGAGAGAGAGAGAGAGAGAGAGGCGTCACAACAACATCACTTCGCCTTGATTAACAACGTTGTTTTATAGTAATATACAACAGGTATTTTGCAGGTAATTATACGCAATTTGCATTAAATAATTATGTAAATGCACAGGTGACCAATGGGGGAGAATTATTTTGTAGTTTATGTAACGGGTATACCATCTGTGACACCTGGGGAAAGGTGGGGGTTACAATGTAGGGTTTTGTAACACGTATGGTATAGGCGGCCACCAGAGCAGGTTACAGTGAAGGGGGGTCAAGATTAATGCTGTAACGTTTGGTTCACAGCGAGTCATGTTAACACTCAGCTAAGTCACCGTTGTACAATCTGGTTCCTGTTAACTCACATAAGTTGTACTGCCTGTTTCACAGCTAATGCAAGTACCGGTTTATATCATATCTCACAGCTAAGACAGATGCGTACAGCGTGGGTTACAGCTAAGGCAGAACTTTACAGCGTATTTCACAACCTGGGACAGAGCTAAGACAGATATATACAGTGCATTTCACAGCTAATACACACTTATACAACGTATTTTACAGCTAACGGAGGTATAGAGCAGCGAGGGAGGGAGGGAGGGAGGGAGGGAGAGAGAGGAGTACCTCCAACATGGTGGTGGTGCTGTTATCGGCTGGCAACTTTCCTCTATATAAAAACTGGCTCCATACTTCACCCACTTGGAGGCTGAGACGCGGGGCTCCTCCGGCCCTCCTGACACCTTCTAGCCGGCTGGTGGTAGTGGTGGTGATAGTAGTGTGGTGGTGGTGGTGATGTGATGGTGGTGGTAGTACTACTTTTTCTTTTCTTTTTTTTACAATGGCCTCCATCCTCCCCTTATAGCCATACCTTCGCCGCCATTTTATTACCTTAAAATTAAATATCCTAATACATAAGTAGCTATCCTAGCTGTGTTGAGTTAGTTGAGCCGCAGATCTATGCGGCATTCAGTGACTGTTGTCTCATAGTCAATAACTGCAACTGTTGTCGGCTTTGGGGCCGATGCTCTCGTTCCCCTGAGGCAGAGCAAAGCCGACCTAAGGAGATAGGAGGACAGTCGACATCTCATCCAGGCTGTAACATAACTTCTGGGCTGCTGCTTCTGTTCGGATATCACCGACGCGAGTCTGGCGTAGAAACATCTTGCACTTGGCCCCATCCCACCAGAGGTTGTGAACACTAGAGGAGTAAAGCTGCCTTGATCAACGTTCTGAATTCTCTCCCCGTATGCCCTTATCTTGTCGTTCTCGATCCTCCTGTGTGCAGCATCAAGAGCTAAGTTACGGTGACATGCGGCCATGGGATAAAAAATCCTGATGTCTGATGTCGAAGAAGGCTCGCTGTCCCCGCGTACAGAATCCTCAAGCACTGACGTCAACACGGGCTTCGTTGGATGTGTTTGAAGTCCTATGTTGGAAATTCTCACCGTCCAATGGAAGGAGGGTCGGTTCTACCCTGACATCACGGCAGATTTCCTTCAACATATTTGCTGTGAGATCCCTTACTTCGTCATGCCCTGAGAACCACTACTTTGCCACTAACAGCCCTGAGAACCACTACTATGCCACTAACAGCTCAGCTCTGAGAACCACTAATCCACCACTCCACCACTATCAGCCCTAAGAACCACTACACCGCCACGAACAGCCCTGAGAACCACTACTACGCCACTAACATCCCTGAGAACCACGACACCACCACTATCAGTCCTGAGAACCACTACACCGCCACTAACAGCCCTGAAAACCACTACACCACCTTTAACAGCCCTGAGAACCACTACTCCACCACTAACAGCCCTGAGAACCACTACTACGCCAGTAACAGCCCTAAGAACCATTACTACGCCACTAACAGCCCTGGGGGTACTATCACAGTTTCTTATCATTAATGTCAAAGACTTAAGTACACAGAGAACCTTGCCAGAACCTGTTTATGTTAGGTACTGGTCACACGGGGTCAGGCTCTGGCCTCAAGGTCAGGGTGACGTATGTGATAAAGCTGATACACTAGGTTAGGGTGAAGCCTTAGGTCAGGGTGACACGCAATGACCGGGTGAAGACGTGTGAGGTCAGGGTGAGGCGATAGACTAGTGTGAAGGCTTAGGTCAGGGTGACTTTTTCAACACACTGTATTTATTATCGTCACTACATAATATAACTGCCGTCTCCGTCCGTCTACCTGCCTGTCTGTCTGTCTGTCTGTCTGTCTGTCTGTGTAATTCCGCGCCCATTAGATTCTTCAACGCGGATGATTAGCTTTTGGGGTTTGTAGTTAGTGTTGTTTCTTACCCTCTAATGACTCGGGACCTGTAATGACCTCCACCACGTTATTAAGGAGTTTTATATGATTACATTTACTCTTCCCCCTCACCCCCCCCCCCTTCCCTTCTCCAACCTCTTTCCCTCTCCAGTTTCCCCCTTTCCCAGTTTCCCCCTTTCCCTTATTTCCCACTTCCCTTGCTCTCCCCATCCCATTACCCCTTCCCCTCCCATCCCTCCTCTCTCCATTACCCCCACCTTCCATCATCGTCCCATTGTACACGAGTTTGACCTCCTAGATTACATACATACATACATACATACATACATACATACATACATACATACATACATACATACATACTGCGTGACGGCCTGTGACAGTACGTGACGTAGGGGTAGAACGTCACAAGAGAGAAGAGAAAGGGAGGTGCGGAGGAGAGGGGTGAGAGGAGGGAAAGGGGAGGACTGAGTCAAAGGATTAGGGTGGTAGGGAGGAGGGAACAAGAAGTAAGGAGGGGAAGGAACAAGAAGTAAGGAGGAGAAGGAATTAGGAAGGAGATAGTGGGTAGAATTCCAGTGTGAGTTGGAGGTAGTTAAGGAGGAGGGGGGGGGGGAGTCAGGTTGTGTGGGAAGGTTGTGTGTGTGTGAGCCAGGAGGGTACTGTTACCACCTGTTACTCTACCCTACCCTTACCTTCCCATCCTCTTTCTTCTCCTCCCTCCTGCCTTCCTTTTCCTCCTCCCATACCTTCATACTCTAGGTGCCTCGATCTACCTATAAGACCACCATGTTGCACCACCACCATTATTACCACCATTACCATCATCATCACCACTACCCCCCCCCTCCACCACCATCTCAGGTCGTCACACATCTCAGCAAATTTTTCGTCACATGCTGGGGTGTCACATGACCTGACCTGACCTCTGTAAATCACAAGACACCAACTACTTACCACCTATTTTCGCTTCTTTCTTATACATTCTGATTATGAGTTGTGTTAATGGGGATTTATACCATTATTTATACCTGTATT